AAAAAAGGAGAAAAAAGATAAATAAACTCCTAGCTTTTAGAAGAGACCACATCATACATAGTGGTTTCTTCTTTAATATATATATAGAAGATTACTTCATTAAATATACTATTTTAAGCATCAAGTAATAATATTTATTAATTATATAAAATAATTACATTATATAAAATAGTACAAGAATAAATTAATATGTAACGTTTATCACTAAAACTATGTTTTTTTAGTGATTTTTAGCGTTCTTTAAATGGTCGGATGATATCTTATTAATAAGAGGGTAAACTAAATTCAAAACCATATTTCCCAAAACACATCAAGGTTTACTTACATCATGTTAATGCTTAATAATAAAACAAACAATTTACATTATAAACATTTAAATATGCCTTGTGTGTGTTTTTAGACAATTTGCCCTTGAAAAATACATTTAATTAAATGGTGTTTGACGCAACAGTATCTAATTACTAGTAAAGTCCGACCCCATAAATAAGTAATGGTTTAACTTATACCGGTGATATGAAAATGTATGAGTTAATTTGTCGTATACAAATATAATATAATTAATCACAAAGGTGGTGCCTGATTGGTTTGAACTTGACTCTTAAGGTCAAAAGTACCAGGATGTCTCAGGTTCAAATCCAAGGAGGAATAAAAATCCCTTGTGGCCACAGAGGTTCAAATGCGGTGACTCTGGGCTATCTGCAAAACAGGTGGTCGTCCTGAGATTAGTCACCTCGCATAACGGGTTGAATATCCAGGTTAATAAAAAAAATATAATTAAAAAAAATCAATTTATTATAATATTTGTTTCAAGGAGTAGTTTATTTGGAATGCAGAATGTAGTTGATGGGAGGAAGGTTTTGTTTACCAAAAAATGTGGACCCGTGTTTGATGGGTAGCTGATTGCATCAAGCCGGATGATATGGGCATATGACAGAAATTCTGCTACTTTCTAATTTGATTTTCGTTTTTATTTTGTTTTATTTTATTAGCTGATTGCATTAAGCCGGATGATATGGGCATATGATAAAAACCCTCCTACCTTCTAATTTGCTTTTCATTTTGTTTTATTTTATCTAAAGAGTATCGATTTAACAAAAACTTAATACAAATCGTTAACGGTTTGTATCTCGATACTATTCAGAAATTTCCTCCAATAAAGTCGTTTTAAGAGGGTCAAAACCATATAACAAAAGAACACGATGGTAGATAATTCTTCATTTAACCGTCAAGTCGTTGAACTCGTAACAATAAATATAGTATATTGTTGTTTTTAAATTGATCCCGTTTCTTTTTTTTTTCTAGAAGCAAGAAAATGCTTTTCGTGGGTTTTGATACCGAGAAATGTGTTTGTTGACGATAATATATTGTGCATTTTACGTTTATTTTAGAAAATTTATTGTGATTTTTTAGAAGATTTTAGTATTAATTAACCGTATTATTATGCATTTAAATGTTTTTACCAATTAGTTTTATTATGTTTTATTATAACAATAAATTATGAATTAATTTTTTTAATTTTTTAAGATGTTATATTATATGATTTATTTATAATATAGTAAAAGTAATCCCAAATGGTTAAGTTTAAAAATGCTAGTTTAAAGCAATAGTCCTACTTGGTCTACGATCAGAATAATATTTTATTAGGTGTTGTAAATAAAATATAATATGGTTAAAAATGTGGAATTTAAATAAAAACACTTTATGAGCCACATGAATATAATAAATATGATTTTTATTAACGGTAAAAATAGCAACATGTGGTAAAAGATATCTATTTTTTATTTAAGCTCAGGTTTGTTATGTGTTGAGGTGAATTTAGAAGATTAAACATATGATAAATTGATGTTTGGTTTGAAGGGAAGTATATGGAGATTTGTGTTTTAAAGTAGTTTATGAATATATCAGTTTATGATCTAGTCTTCAATACAGTTTTTGAATAAATTAGTTCAGAGCCTGAGCTTATCTGAATAAAGGGAGTATAATGTTTTATATGATATACTGATTTCATGAAGATATCAATTCCATGGGGAGTAGTGATTTTTAAATTTATCTGATCATTTTTCAAAAGAAGAGCAAGTATTTTTCATACTTATTTGAATGATTAATGGATACTTAACTAGTTTTTTACAGGATTATTTGAAGAAATAAAGAGTTTGAAAGATGAAGATAAGGCTTGAGAGATATAAAATATATTCGGACAAAAATTGTGTGATGAGAGCATAATCCGGACATAGTTGTGAGCAATAAAATTCCTATCCGGTCATAGGCTTGAGCGATGAAGAGTTTAAACCACACAAGTCTTATGCGATGATGTGCATACCCGGACATGGATGAGCAATGAGTGATAGCTTTGAGCAATGAGAGACTTGTGGTGAGCGATGAAACCCCTCATTGGCCACAATGGTGAGCGATGAAATTCCTCTCATCAGCTAGACTTTGAGCGATAAACTTTTTGAGTGATAAGAGAATTTTTTTAATCAACTTTATTGTTCTTGTTTTTTATATCTGATCTTAATAAAAGAATATAAACTATTAATAGTGATAATTATATATTAAAATAAATTGATTTACAACTTCCATAAAAACAGTTATTATATTTAATTTTCCATATTTAAAAATAACTAAAACATTACCAAGATTAACCGGTATAAAGTAAAATGACATTTATACCATTATTCATAAAAAATAAAGAATAAAACATGGAATTTTCTTATTGATTGAAATTGGTTTCTATAATTATATTTATATATATATATATATATATATATATATAATCTTTTACAAACAAAACAAATTGTGGATTTCATTCAATCACTTTATTATGAAAAGAAGATCCACTAACAAAAAGCAAAAGTATGAATGAAACATACAATAACCTCCAAAATATATATGTATATATTACATGGTTAAAAGGGGGGAAATTCAATAAAAGGCATCCACAACTATTGTTGTTGATAATTTAATCAATTCGAAGGACCAGTGATTATTGGATAGAACTATTAATGTCGTCGATATTGTCACACCCTAAAAGTTATAAAAAATATAAAGTATACGTTCAAAATGATTGTATTCATAAAGGTTGCAATAATTCAAGGGCGAAAATGGGTTTCTCCAATATGTGCAAGAAGTTTAGAGAGGATTTGTAGAAGGAAATGAAGAAAGCGAAGGTAGCATTTGCTTCAAAGAATGTATTTTGTTCAAATTGGAATATGAATGAATTAGAATTTGTTTGTGTTGGTTTGTTAAATATAATTTTGAAATTATAATAAAATAATGATAAATAACAAAATACCTATTCATGACATTTTAATGTTTTATTGCTTACACATTTTATCAGTGATACGTTTAATTTGTTATCGAATTGACCAAAATAAAAGTGGGATCAAGTTTGAGGCCTTAAAAACCATGTTTAGATCAAGAAATAGTTAAAATCATGTTCTAGGTAGATTACCATGTAATGCATCTAAAAAGAATGAAGGGGTTGTTTACCAATTATTTACTAGCAAGAGAAATTATTTTCACTTTATCGGTCATCAAAATGGATTGTTGGTAAGTGTCATAAACTAGGTAAGCTTACCAGGTGAGAGTCTTTTTCCTCACTTACTGGATAAGACTTTCGGTCCTTGTTATGCCTATTACCGGGTAAGATTTTTGGTCTATGTCATGCTCAATCGGTAAGATAAGTGATTAATAATCCTAATGGGAGGAGAATTTACAAGATATTTGCATATCTTGAATTTCTCCATCAAAAACGATAAATGCAAGATTATGGACCCATGATTTTGACAAAGACTTTGAGCTTTCAGGAAATTCATTTAAAAGAGCGGGTTTTGATTTCGCCATCCAAGTCGGTATTTGAGACTACCCCTTTGAAAACTCGAGCGTTCCTGGTCCTCCAAATACAATATGCTGCAATCTAAATTACATCTTGCCAGATACTTTTCACCGAGATTGCAAGATTATTTCCTCGGTCAAAAAGTACCAATTTCGAAACTAAAGATGAGATGTGACCATGAGAAGATGGGTTCCCATATTTCCTTTGCTGAGTACAACCAATGAGACAATGACCTAATGCTTCAACATTGTCTCCCACACATCGGGCAAAGGATCGAATGCAGTTCAATGCCTTTGTTGCTTAAATCCTGAAGAATAGATATCCGATCATATGCCACAATCTCCATATGAAAATGTTGACTTTTCTTGGCGCAAGCTTGTTCCACATGCTCTTAAATTCATACATACATAAAATGTTATTTTAACCACAAGAGTGGTGTCTGATTGGTTTGAGCTTGACTCCAAAGGTCAAAGGTACGAGGAGGTCATGGTTTCAAATCCAAGAAGGATAAAAATTCTTTTGTGGCCACGGAAGTTCAAATGCGGTGACTCTGGACTATCTGCAAAGCAGGTGGTCGTTTTGGGATTAGTCGGCTCGTATAGCGGGTTGGATATCCAGATTAATAAAAAAAAGTTATTTTCATATTTCACTTCCTTAGGTTCGGTTTTTGGACCATATACGATTGGTTTTAACATAAAAATATTTACAAATCATACAATAACTTTTGGTGCTAAAAATGAAATATTTTTCCAAACTTTGTACATTTTTTTAAATTTTACCGGCCAAAAAAAGAAAGCTTGTCCTTCCCAATCACCACCGACACAGTTGTAGCGGCAGCAGATAAGTACTCCATAGATAATAGATTCCGGCGATGGTATCTTTTCTGCATTTAAATTCACCGGTCGGAAATCAAGGTCCCGTGCTTGAAGAGATCGTATGGAGCCCACAGTCCATCGAGCGGACATGGCCGTTTCGAATCCAATCTCAGCCACGGCTTTCCTTTTCCACTCCAGTGAAGCAAGCTCACCGGACCAGAATGCAAATCTCTACACAATCCTTCGACGTTATCTCCGCCGAGTCCGTGTTGATTCCACCGGTGCTCCACCGCTTTAACATCTCCGGCGAATACAAGCAGAAACGGAGGTAACGAACCCAGTTCATAAATCCGGTATCTTTTTTGTATCTCCATCCATTTCTCGAGCTTTTCAGTTATCTTAAACCTCCTCCATTTCATCATGTCAATCACCATTACGCCGGTGTTGAAATAGCATGGCTTTGCATGACGGTGTTTGAACACGCCGGAGAAATATGGGTTTGACCAGAATTTTGGTGTGAAGTAGTGGGTGAAGTTGGCATGGCAATATTCCGGTGCTCCAAGGACGTGGGAGTTAAGGTTTATTTCCCATAGCTTGACGACATCGTCTACAACGATTACGTCGGAGTCGAAGTAGATGACACGGTGGACGGTGGCGGGGAGGAGGTCGGCGAGGTAGATGCGGGCGTAGTTGAGAGGTTGATCGAGTGCACGGCGGATGGAGGTTGAGATTTTGTTTTTTACAAGATCAGTATTGAAGTGGTGGAGGTGGAAGTTGAGGTAAGGGAAGGTGGTTGCGATGGTGTGGCGGAGGGCGGTGGAAAGGCGGTGGGTGGTGAGGAAGTGGAAGACGGTGTTTTCCGGGCAACTTGAGTGTTGGATGATGGAGAAGACTCCGGCGACTGAACCACGGAGGTAGGTTGCATCTAGGGTCATTGCTATGTGGATCTTTGTGTCGTTACATTCTTTGCCGTTTCGAAACGCCGGCGCTTCTTGAAATTCCGGCAGGCGAAGGGCGGCGATGATATAGATGAGGAGAATGAGGGTGATGGTGAGGAGGTGAAGTTTTTGTGGGTGTGGCATGGTGATGGTGGTGGAAGGATTTTGGCGATCATGTGATGATGATAAGGAGGATAAGAAGCTGAGGGTATAAATGGTAAATATGGAAACATGTGGGGCCAAAGTGAAATTTATGATAGCGGAAGTGGAGAGAATGAATAAAGTGCCAACTGGAATTTCGTTTGGTGTTTTGTGCCCCGTGATTAAGGTGGGGATGAAGAAGAGGAAGGATCTGGTGTGGTTAGATCTTTGGGAAGGTTTGGTATGACGTCATAATCTTAACACAATATCAACGGTGATGAGTAGAACTTTTTCTAATTTTTTTTTCCTTGATTTGAAGAGGCATTTGAGTTTTTTTTTATTTTTATTTTCCTTGTATTTTTTTAATATCTTAAAGCCACATTCAAAGTTTAGCAAGTACATCTTTTATATATATAAAAAATTACTTGTGAAATTGATCAGTTAAAACGGGTGCACGGGATCTCATTCGGATATGAATAGGTCCTCCCCTAATTATCATGAATGAATTACATCTCTCCTTCATCTGTATTTATATTAAACGCTACAAAAAACATACTAAATTACCGATGACTTCGATAGATAGATTTGCATGTAAAACTGATAATTTTAAGACCGTTTTATTAACGGGTGGTTGTGGAAATGATAACATCGAGTAACCATCCTTAGTTGACGGTTTTGCGAGAGTATAGAATTTTTTAGGTAAACCATCGATAAATACTATATATTATCATTTTCCATTTATTTAAAATACCATCAATAAACTATCAATGATTTTTTTAAATTATCAACATTTTATCCGCCACTATTAATCTGGTTCTGATGTCATTTATATTTATATAAGATTTTAAATGATAGTAATTTTTTAATTTTATATACTGATTCAAATGTTATATATTTTGAATTTTAGAGATTTAATTAATTTATTTGGAAATAATACATATCAAAATATATGTTGGAGTAAAGAAAACGATTGAAATTCATGTGACCGGTTATTTAATTTTTTTTTTCAAATAATTAATATATATATATATATATATAGAGAGAGAGAGAGAGAGAGAGAGAGAGAGAGGTTTGTTTCAAATACAACCCATCGCATTTGTACAACCAATGCAACCCAATAAATTAAGATATTTATGAAAATAATGAGAGTTTATTTATTATGATTTGAATATTTATGAAAGATGAATATGATTCATTAATTATGATCAATACTTTATATTAGAAAACAATCAAAACTTCTATGAAATCACATATTAATAAAATGAAATGGACGATTGAGATTGAGTTGTATTGGTTGCACAAATGTCAAGAGTTATATAATAACCAACCCCCCTCTCTCTCTCTCTCTCTCTCTCTCTCTATATATATATATATATATATAAAGAGTGTTGGGTGTAAATAATATAGCTAATGATGATCATAAGGTATTATATTGATGTGATTAATCGTCATCTTCATTTATTTATATACAATTATAATTAGTTTATAATGTATATTAAAATTTATATATTATAAAAGTGTCATGTAAATAAAAGCATACGTATTAATAGTAATTTCATTTAGGTGTAAAAATAGTCTAATTAATTCAATTTAGATAGAACATTCAATTGTATCTTATAAATAATTTACGGGATAAAAGATGAAATGTTAAAAGAATATATAAACATAAATTAAATAGAAACTAAAAGGTTTGTCACGTTCATGACTTGGTAAATGAGATTCATTCTAATACGTGAATCATATTATAAAGTCATTAAGTAAATTTAAATAAATTAAAAAAAAATTAAAATTTAAAAATTTGAGAATAAAGGATTTGAGAATACTTCTACAGGTAGATAGATAGTTTGAAAGTTAAAACTAATTAAATTGGAAGTCAAATTACCAAAAAAGTCTTCTTACAATGAAATACAATTTTTTTTTATTTAAAGGCATAATAGTCTTTAACTTATTTAATATTTTAAAGGTTCAAAAAAATGAGAAAATTCCTATAGACAAATCTTACTTTAACAATGTCATATCATTTTTTTTAGGTTTTTCATATATAACTCATTAATTAATACAAATGTAACTCAGGTCTATGCATAATTTACCCATTTATATATACATACATATATATAAAGTTGAGTTCCGATAAAAAGAAAAGTTAAATTAATACATTTGGATGCATATTAGAATGAGATACACCAGATTAATTCCCATATTAATCTTCATTCATGGATAGTTTTGATATTAAACGTAATCAAGAGTTCAAATTTTTTTCTTACGTTTTTTATTTTAACTTTCATTTTCATACGATCTTTTACCCTTTATATATATATATATATATATATATTATCCTTATAACTTATGGATTATAACGCTTTTAATTCCTAGAGTTTCGAAAATATAAAATATTCATCAACCACATATAAGTCACAAATTAAAAATTTTGGTCGTCTGACAGTCATTAAATGAAAATGCATTTTAGGCTTTTGTCATTTTCTAATATAAAAATTAAAATAAATGAAATTAATGTATTTTGGTCCCAACTCCAAGTGGCGTTGGCGCATTGCACCCATTACCAACCAGCACCAGCGACCCATTGCTCAGTCCAGCAAGAGATTTCTCACCCTTATGGTTAACACAACACCTGGAAGGCCCACTTCTTCGTCAACGATAAGCACCTGCACGACTCCATGGTTAACACGACCCGACCCTCTCTCTCTTTCTTTGCAGGTCACAGTTGGGATTTTTCCTTCTATATATTTCTTTGCTGGTCACAGTTGGTTAACACCAATCTCTCTCTCTCTCTATATATATAAAACATACATAAGGAGAGTTAAAAGAAAGATGAACCATCAAATGCAAACCATTCATATTTGCACAAATCCTACAAAATACAAACTATCATTATCTATCGATTTTATTGTTTAATTTAATGATTTTGATTCATGAAATTGATTAATATATATATATATATATATATATATATATTTTAGATGAAGTTGTTTCATATATGTTTACGAAATTATTTCATATAATACTTATGAAATTCTAATGAAATTGTTTCGTGTATTTCATTTAAAATTAATATAATGAATATGATAATATCCATGATTAACACCTTCCACAATAAAAATGATTAATCAACCTCTTATAATTACAAAAAGAAAATGAAAAAAATGAAAATTATGATTAATTGAATGAGATTTATATGGTTTATACAAATAACATGGTTTGCAAAGTAAACCCCTTCTCTCTCTCTCTCTCTCTATATATATATATATATATATGTGTGTGTGTGTGTGTTATTTTTTAAAGGAATCACATAAAGTGATAAAAGTCTAAAATACCTTCATTTAGTAGGATTTTGTAACTATTGGTTAGAGCAAGACATCAAATCCGAACGTTTTTGCAAACCATGATAACCATCTTGTATTTTCAAAACAATAGTGAGGAAAATTCACAAAAACCAACAAGCCACAAGGACCGAACTTATAGTTTACTCTTAAATTTTTTATAATTTGAAAATTGATTGACAAATCTTAGATTTAAATTATACTTTTTACGTTTTGTTTCCATCCTAAAGACCTTCGGTAAACAGTCGAAATTATCAATGTTACCGGTGGTTTATCGACCACTTTTTGATTTAAATTTATTTTTTTAATGGTTTTGTTTTTATCATAAAAATCATCAAACTGTCGGTATTTTAGATGTTTCAATTCTTAAATATATGGTAGTAGGGTTTTGTAGGCCTTGATCGATCATATATGTCTAAATGGGTCACAATCAGTCTTTGTGAGTCTTAATGTGTCATATGCTGGTCTAAAGGATCGTTTATTAAACATATACCAGGTAAATACTTACTGATATCACTTACCTTACGGATTGAGCATGACAAAGACTGAGAATCTTACCCAGTAACAAATATAGCACAAACTGAGAGTCTTTTGCGATAAGTGAGAGAAAAGTTTCTTACCTGTTGAAGACGTTTGCCAACAATCCATTTTGATGTCCGAGAATATTACAACGATAAGGTAAGCTAAGGTGATGCCTTTTACAAACACTTACACGGATAAACGTTTGGTAAACGACTCCTAAGTGAATTGTAATCGGCTGTGGTGGGCTTCAGTGGGTTTTGAGCGGTTTTATTTGACATTAAGAGGTTATTTATTCCAAATTAGCCATAATAAGTCATATTTGGTTTAAAACGTTTCTAAGGTTGACTTTGATTTCGAAATTTTCTAGGGTCCGATTTCCAATTCCGAGTTTATTTGACAATCAAGTTTTAGGTGTCAATCAGTGTTGTGGTGGAGTGGTTAGTGCCTGGGCAGTTCATAGCGCTGAACCCAGGTTCGAACCCCTCTTCACACATCCTGTGCGACATTTACTAAAGGGGCATGCTTTAGCCCTAGATGTGCCTGGGATTAGTCGAGCATTGGCTCGGATATCCATTTCAAAAAAAAAAAAAAAAAAGGTTTTAGGTTCCATTTTATGTTTTTATTCTCCATCCCTCTCGATGCTAGTTTTATAACAATCTTGTGTGATTTTAAATCATGAATTTGACGTTATATTACGTTGAATGAACTTCTTACAAATTGACTTATCACTAAGCTGATTAGAGCAAAAGAAAGAAGCAAAATAGAATAATTGTACCAACCATGTTTCTTACACATTTAATCGCTTTTTTGTAATGTAGACATAAACATGTGTTGATGCTTTATCTAATCCGCCGGACTGATAATACGTCAACGAAAATGAGATACAGATAGTCATCTAAATAAGAGATGTTGAAATGAAAGAAATGCAAGAATAAACTACGATTTTCGTCCCTGTCGTTTGATGTTTATAATGGTTTTTGTCCATGGTTTTTATAAACTGTTTTTTTTCGTTCTTGTGGTTTCCATTTTCGTCTCTCCAAATCCAAGTCGGTTAAGAATGAGAGCTAAATAATTCAAAAAGTGATTTTTAGGAAATTA